ACGGTGAGGAAAAAAGGGCAACGCACTTTACAGAGTCGAAGCTGGAGGTTTTAAACACGGAGATTACACATCTGCTTCAACGAAGGAAAGAAATATAGAATAAGAAATAGATAAGAAAAGAAAAAATAAATAATAAGAAAGTTTGTTAGTTCATTAAATTACACATGCCACCCTCCATTTTATTCATTGTAATTAAACTTCTGTTTAACATCCTTTTGAGTATGTTGTGTAACCATTCATGCATTTATTTTTCTTGCCATTAATTTCTTAAGGCCACAATATGTGTATTGACTAATAAGGCTTATAGAAATTGTAAACTTTCTGGAGCTAGAACTCTGTCCAAAGTCATTAAACACAGAAACATTCTCCTAAAAGGTAATATTTAATTACTGGAGCTCTTTATTTAACACTCTAGAATATTCTTTCTGACATGCAGCTAATAGAAAGAGGCCTGTCTAACTGCTGTGGTCCACCAGTTAGAGGAGATGCTGTGTCCTATAATAAAGGCTCATCAGTGGTTGAGTTTTTGACTTAAACCACACAATCTGTTTTATTTCAGGAAAATAAGAAATTAACAGACCAAAATATTTGATTAAACATAGTTTTTTGACAAATTATATTTCTAAGCACTCTTCCATCTGTTTTGTCTGCTTGGGTCACTGAGATTTCCTCTGGGTCAGGCTGCAGGTAGGGTGTCATTGTATAAGGCAGAAAAGGGGATCTTTTGTCCTCCAGCAAGTAACAATGTAGTGCCCAGTAATGATTCTATTGTATAATACAAATATAATAAAAATAAACATTGTGTAAAGCAACATTTGCTTTGTTTTTTATTTTATTTTTTTTTTTACTATATTTGTGTTATACACTTGAATCATTACATCCTGAAAATCAGCCATTTAGCCTCAATATATAGTGATGAGGTGGGGTCATCACATATGTGCTGGTAGGATGAAGCAGTAATGAGTTTAATAGTTGAAACACCAAAAGATTGAGGACAGAAAATTAAGTTGTACCTGCACATTTATACTATGGACAGATTTCATATTATAGTGTCCTTTAGTGACTGAGGGAGCTTTAAAATTGGCTGCAAATGCACACAGGCATTTGGAAACCCTGAAAAAAATATTATATTAAAAAATGTAGGTGTGTGCATGAATGTATACATATAAACGACGTCCTACATATTAAATTATAGGTATATTTTCCTACTAGATTCGAACTCGCTCCGCTGTTCGCTCCGTTGATCATTATCGACGCACTGTCCACTACACTACTGCCGTGCTCTGAATCAACTGTGTAATGATACGCAGTGATTTATGACCAAGTAACTGTACAAAAGTGTAAAAAACAGTTCAGTGCGAGGCGTACTGTACAGGTGGTCATACTGCCACATTGTACAGTTGCCTAAAATGCCCTGACGCGAATACAAAGAGCTGCACTGAATGTTTTTTATGGTAAGCGCAGACCCGCGGTTTGTCACATTTGATTTCAATAAGGTTTGTTAAATACATTAACATTATGAATTTGGTTATGAAAAAAAACTATGCACTTATAACCCTCACAATGAAAAAACTTGTATCTGTGTGTCCACATCCATAAATATTCTCATCAAAAGAGCACGCAATGCTCAGTAAACTCTCTGAAACAGACAAACTCTGGAACATAGCAACTTACTCTCTGAACATAACCTGCTCCGGAGCAGGTTATTTTCAGAGAGTAAGTTGCTATGGCTACTTAACATACCCAGAAGTTACCTCCGATTTTGGAACCAAAGCTGAGGTTATCTATCTACTTACTCTCAAACTTACCCGGGTATGTCACATAACCTGCTTTCTGGAACAGCCCCCAGGGCACTTGTCGAGTTGGACTTGTAATCAAAAAAGGAGGAGTGAATGAACGGCACTCTCTTCATCTTCAAGACCCAGAATAATAATAATAATAAATATAATAATAACTTTTATTCATAGGCACCTGTCAAAGCACTCAAGGACACCTTACAGCATATCACAAGCACATCATGAAAATACAAGCACTAAAAAAAAAAACAATCGACATAATATTAAACCATCAAACCATTAAAAGCTGTACTAAACAAAAAAAGTTTTTATCGGAGATTTAAAATTGGAAATCCACCTGGCGAATGTGCAAAGACAAGGATAACTTTGGCGCTGTATCACTAAAAGCCCTGCCACCAAATGACTTCATCTTAAAGTTTGGAACAGATAACATCAGAGGACCAATTACTCTCTAGAGGAGCTCTGCTACATCAGTCCTAGCGCTATATCAGTCTCTGCTATGGAGTGAACCACTAGAATTTAGCTTCAGAGCCTCTCACAAGACTGAAGACATGCCATCTACCAACCTGATTTCCAGACTGAAAGCAGTTTAGTCACCAGTGCAAGAGAAGACACGACAGCAGCGGTTGACTTCCTATCCCCTTAGTGTTTCGCTGGTGTGCACAAAAGAGCAGTTTCCAACTAAAGAGCAGATTCCCTTTGAGCAACACAGTCAATAAACATGTCTTTTTCAAGAAGCAGTTCTGACTCTGCCTTTCTGGATGCGGTGGTTCCTATCTCCAGGTGATGGGCACGGGTATTGCATCACAAGTCTGGGGGTCCAGCATGTTGATGCGGTGCTTGCGGACAGCTCATGCTTTCACTGTGAGGGCATCGCTGTTGCAGACTGCGGCTGTCAAGCCTCCCCCATTGCTCCCCTTGAAAACGTTTAGCACACGGTCAGACGTGAGGATCACTGTTGGGGCTTATTTGTCAACTCTGGGTCTGCAGACCCCCCACTTCTCCACAGCACGCCCCATCCAAGTCTTCGAGTGGTTGTACGGTTCATCCCCCGGGATGCCCGCGCCTCTGATTGATGACACTGGAGATCAGAGGTTCATCGCGACATCGAAGAGTGAGCTGTCTCGCTCAGATGACTGACCGAGCTCCCTTCCATCCAATGGGGTGCAATACATGGTCACTGTTTTCAAATAAGACATGATGGCTGCGCTTTCTGGACTGCTTCGGCAGGGCAGGTGGAGATAGCTTTTCCCCCAGTCTCACTACCAGAACGAATAGAGGGTGTGATGTGCGGGCTGATGAAATATGAATCTTCCAGCTCCCATCCGCTTCTTCCCAGGGGCGAACAGCGAGCACACACATATAGAGGACGTTTTTCTCCTCGGTCCTTGTGCGCTTCCGCCTTCGCCTCCCTTGATGGCGTTTATCTGGGAGCCCGGTTCAGCTTGTGCCAAGGTTCCTACCGCCCCCTTTTAATATTAGGTAGTGAGCCTGCAAGCGATGCCGGCGGAGGAGGCAGACCCAGCCCTTTCATTGCTATTTCCAGGCTGAGCGATACCTTACTCATTCGCAAGATTTTATAATACTCGAGTGGAGTTGGTTTTCCTCCCAATTACTGGTTTACTCCGGTCAATCAGGAAGAAATTAGCTCAGTGTCAAAAACGTTTGCTGTGCCATGCTCCTTAACCCAGAGATACGTGCACATTTTCTATTCTGCTAGTAAGTTTCCCTTTATAGAGAATTCCTCAGGCCCCCAGCACCTGACTCAGTGGAGAAGTCAAGTGCATGGCTCAGTGCGATGTCTGGTATGCCCGTTTGGTCAACCCACATACTGAGATTCGGTGCCAGTTAAGCGTGACCCCCTTTGGTGATGCCATATGCTTATTTCAGCCACAGAGTGTTCCCCCTGACCAGATGAACCCGTGTCTTTCCTACTCGCTAACCAGCTTATCATATGTAGCTCTCCCTCTCAATAGGGCTAGTCCATATGCTCTATTAACATCAAGTCTCCATTCTTGAGTAGCAAGTGGTCTCCGCAGCAATCTCCCCCTTTGGGAACTGGCACACTTTCCCAGCATACTGTTGTATTTCTAAAAATCCCTAATCTATATTAGCTTGGTAAAACACAGTATGACCTCCTTTCTAATTTATGTTAATTGTTTCCATATAATGGTAATTTTTTTGGCCTAGGCGAAAAAGGTTGTGCTTGTGGTGAAAAAAAGAATCAGCTGTGGAGCTGAGATCCGCCAACTCATTTTGATTTATTGGCCCATTTACTTACATCTGCCATGCATATCCGTTGTATAAACACTCGTAGCAGTGCAATATGGCTGTATATCGGCACTGGTGGGGGCACTAAGGCACTCGGCGTGCGGCCTTGTGCCAATGCACGCCTCCCACCAGTGCCAATATACAGCCATATCACACTGCTACTCATTTGATATTGCTCATATATATATATATATATATAGGTTATGCATAGCAGATTATATATACACAGTTGAAAACAGAGATATTAGCTCTCGTTTGAATTTATTTCCCAAATGATGTTGAACAGAGCAAAGAAATTTTCACAGTATGTCTGATAATTTTTTTTTTCTTCAGGAGAAAGTCTTTAATTTTTTGATTTTGGCTAGAATAAAAGCTTTTTATAAACCATTTTAGGGTCAATATTATTAGCACCTTTAAGCAATATATATTTTTCGATAATCTCCAGAACAAACCATCATTATACAATAACTTGCCTAATTACCCTAACCAGCCTAGTTACCCTAATCGACCTAGGGAAGCCTTTAAATGTCACTTTAAGCTGTATAGAAGTGTCTTGAAGATTATCTAGTCTAATATTATTTACTGTCATCATGACAAAAAGAAAATAAATCAGTTATTAGAGATGAGTTATTATGAACTATTAGGATTAGAAATGTGTTAAAGATATCTTTCCTCTATTAAACAGAAATTGGGGGAAAAAATTGAAAAATAGACAGGGGGCTAATAACTCAGGGGGGGTAATAACTATACATATATATGTATGTATATACACACACACACACACACACACACACAGTTGAAGTCAGAATTATTAGTCCCCCTCTTTATTATTTCATAAAAAATACACAATACAGTTTCACTTACACTAACATATTTATGTACAGTTTACTGTGAACTGTATAAATGTACATAAGTATCCCAGACTGGACCAACCTTATAGTCTTGAGGATCCTGAGAGTTTTGCATCTTTTTTCACCATGCGATGAAGTGCAGAAAAAGCTTGATATAACATATAATCCATACACTGAAGTTTTACAGTTAATGTGAACTCATTTCTCTGATAATTTAACACTATCAAAAACTTGTGAACGACAACAGTATTTTAACAATTATTATTTTTTATATAATTTAAAATATATAGAGACATAGATATGTGTTGTATTCAGTTACTGTTTCAGCCCAGAATGATGTGTATAAAACAGTCTTGCTGCTCTCAGGTTTCTGCCTTAGCAGACCAATCAAACACCTCAGTGGAGACGCATCAATAATATCCAGGGTAACAAGATATTTTAACACTGGCATAAAGCAACAGCAAGTGTCAAACCATAGGTTGAGTAATCATTGATATTTTTTGTAGAGAATAAAAAATCAAAGTCAGCTGTATAATGTTATTCTTGCTTATAAAAATATGTAAATTTACATGACAAGGAAATTACTGACAATTTTTTGGAATGAGTAGATTTTATTTTTTATAAAGCAATAAATGCCATTACACCATTTTGATTAAATTCTGTTATTAAGGAGTATTGTGTTGCCAAATGTACTTTCTATATTAATAGCTATATATAGCTGTAAAACTTTTGGAATCTACATCTGCCTAGATACAGTTGACTTTGCTTTGAATCCAATCCAATGATATTAAACATTTAGCTCCAGGAAAACAAGCAGGTGGAAATCATCTAAGCAGGAAGAGAAAGCAACTTCATTTTCCAAAATCTACAGTACAGAATACAGTTTTAATAGCAGGTGTCTTCACAACATAGTTGGAAGCTTTGTTGATTGCTTTGAGCTAATTCATCCACTGAAAAATGTAAGTAGATTTTTTTTGTCTTCATTTAAATTATAATCAAATCGAATGATTTAAATTGATGGTTTTATCGAATAAAACTATGTAAAATAGTTTATACTTCATACTTTAAGTCCTAATAAACAGTGAATATTTGGCATTTAATTAGCCATCAGTAAATGGTGTGTATTGTTATTTAAAAAGTTACCCAAATATTATTTTCAAGACAAAACATTCAGTCTACATTAACTTGTACATTAACGTTTCTTTTTTAGCTGCAAAATAAATCTACTACTTGCATCATATACTGTTTTTTATGATGACAGAAACTGGTGATGATGGTTCAAATCGTACAAAAACTTTTTTTTTTTTTTAAGTTTTCTTTGCACATGCATGTCAATCTCCTTTAGTTATTTTTCACACCCTTGCAGGGTGTGTGGTTATGCGCTAACACAAAATCAATATTTTATGAAAGCACGGAAAAAACAGGACTGATGACATGAACTTTCAGCTGGAACTATAAATAGTGGGTCACCTTTGCTAAAGTGTTGAGTGGCTAATTGTCTATAATTTGTTCAGATCCATAGTATAGCCAATAAATAAATAATAAAATAAATAAATAATAAATAAAAAAAAACCTGCCATATCAGTGTTAGCGTAACATTCAGAGCTGGAATAATGGAGGCGAGGATCCAATGACAGTGTCTTTGTTAAACAAACAATGGTCAGGCAGGCAAGGGTCAATCAAAAGAGCAAACAGAATCTTAAAGGTAAATCCAAAAGAGTAGTCAAAAAACAGTTAAGAAATTGGTTCAGACAGCTACAGTAACAGCAAAAATCAGTCATTTAAGTGAGAGTCTGGAAACACGGTATGGAAAACACAACAAGGAAAATGCTTTGTGTTGCTACAGATAGAACAAGACTCAGCAATGTTTGTATGTGTGCTGTATAAATAGTCTGTGTAATGAATCCTTGAGCAGCTTTAGCTGTGTGTGTTTGCAATCAGTCGGAATCAGGAACCAGTGTGTGTGTGGTGCATGTTTGTTGAGTTGTTGTTTGTTTGGTGGCATATTTGTCGTAGCTAGATCGCTGGTGCCTGCAACAGTTTGGAATCCAACATCGTCCTTAAAAAATCATACTTAAACCACAGATAATACATCTTTAGAAGAAAGCAAACGAAATGAGTCTTATATAAGTTTATCAGTCTATGTAGAAAAAAAACTTGCTAGGTTGTTTAAAAATAACTTTAAGTAATTACATTTTATTGTAGTTCCAAAATCTCTGTAACTACTCTGAATTGGAACAAAGAGAGTTTGGCCCTGCTACTTCAGTTACTAAATGATTATTTAATTTATTAAATCTTACAGAGACACTTGCTCCAATGTCTAGCATGAATGTGAAGGGTATCTCAGATGACCAGGCTGAAAAGCAACATTTTAACAGGTTAGTAACATGTAATTATTGTGTAATTGCAATTTTTTTTTTACCTCTAAATGCTCAGGTAATGAGGATTTTAGACTTTAGGTGACACTGATCATTCTTTGCAAGACTTGAATAGACCTGCATAAATAATAATAAAAAAATCCAAATGCTAGATCTTTATTATACATTCATCCATAGCAAAAGCTTCAGTGTTAAATGAACATTCTTTATTGATCATTTATGTCTACACTAAGAGAGTTAAATAGCCTATATTACACGTGAAAAGGGGTCATATTTTGGTTATATGGATCACCAACAACATACTGATATGCATGCAAGGTCAAAAACACTTTCATGGTCTTATAATCTGCATTTATTTTTACCTAATAATCCCAGCGACTCCCAAATGAATCATCAAGCGATTCATTTGTTCCCAAACCCCTCCTTAGCGCGAAGCTAATCTGCGCTGATTTGACCGATGACAGTCTGTTGCAATTGGTCGACAGTGTTCAATGCTAGACAAATGCCCAGCACGGTTTGTCAAGCTCCCGGCGGACAAACTGGCCTTATTTTGCACGCACCCCTGGTGTATTGTCTGCCCATTCCCACAAGTCTCATACACCAGTCTATTCTGATCCTTCCTTTAACAAACAAATGAATCGCCCACGGTAAGTGTCACAGTTGCAGGTTTGTGCTCTCTTCCGGAGTGTCTGTTTGATCATGTGGGTTTGTTTTGTGTTCCACGTTGAAGGAACTCATCGGCATATTGCAGTGGTCAACACAAGTTGAATCTGAAATCTTGGGCATCTCCAATGGTCTCATTCATTGAACTAGCTTGAGGGCTTATACCATCAGGATAACAGAGCGCCAATTGATTTCGGGCTCCTCTGACCAGTACTTCTATGCAGATGTTCTGGTACCCTTCGGCTAACTAGCCAATGATTAATTCAATCAGTTAAATTAAAAACCATGGCCCTTACAGGATCTTCAGCGGAAACCATTTCACGAGACTTTTAATTGACTCCTGGTCATGTGCTCGCCTTGGGCACATCCTGCTAGAAGCACAATTTCGTAGAGACAAAGAGATCTCTAGAAACATTAATGCATATGAATAAAAGCTAATCTCTTAATGTTAGAACTATGGCAGATGTATCTTTGAATAATATGCCATAATGTTCCTCATATGCTGTTTATTCCAATCTACTAGGTTAATCAATGTGTTGTTTTAACCCTTATAGCAGATTAACATGCTCTGTATGTGTCTGAAATGTATGATGTCTGGTATTGAACGAAAGCTAGTGACATTTGCAATAGGTTGGTGTAAATGAAAAACTAGTAGTACCAACAGTATTTATCTTGTAACGTTTGATGTAAGATTGTTTCATCTTGCAAGAGTTCTACCACGAGAAATCTACATGCAGTCTGTTAATTATTGACCTTTCCTACGTCAGTACGGGGCGTGGCCCCGCCCTTCATGGCAACTGCTTATTGGCAGACAGTGCCATGGGGACGAACCAGACCAGGTCACTTAAAAAAGCCCTGCGACAAAGAAACTTTGCTATTTGCATCAGCTAGCTTGCGCATGCTTTTGCTCTCTGCCCCCTTTCGCCTGCCCGGACACAGCGCCGCCACGCGATTGGGTCACCACGAACTTCCATACAAAGTTTCGGGACCGCCGAAACTGCACGAACTTCCGCAAAACCGACTCTCAGCAGTCCGTCACCTCAGTAACCCAGGACAACAGCCATTCACGAGCGTGTGAATCCCAAAGACGTCATCGAAGCGAGAAACCACCCAATCAGGAGCACCGTGTTTCCCCAAGGCCAGCCAGCGAGGGAGATTCGACTTCAGCAAAAAGGGCGCAAGTAACAAACTAATGTTGTCTCTTGCTGATCTTGTGCAGATTGATCTTAAGCAGTTAAAGATAAGCCATATCTCTGCTTTTGTGGTTTCTCAGGTGTTATTCTAAGATCTTGCAAGAAGTATTAGAATTAATTTGGGACGTTGTCAACTCATTTTGCATCCTCTGAACTGCCTCTGTGTGTATGTGTGAATGTGTGTGTTTGTTTGTTGTTTGCTTATTACGTAGTTAGTTTCATTTATCGTAGTGTAGCTCAATAAATCTTTGTACTCATTTTGTAAGAACTGTGTTCTTGTTTATGTGCTTCTAAGTCATTGCCTCGAGCTGTAGATCTTGTTACCTTGCTAAACGTTAACCCAATACTGTGTTATGTTATTATCGTTGGCCACGTAAATAATATTAACAAGATTGGTAAGATACGATGTCTACTATTTGCGGGACAAATGGTAGATAAAGTGTAAATCTTTTAATCTGATTAAATCTGACTCACTTGAGTCGAATCAATGATTCGAATCTTCAGGATCCGATTCATTGAAATGAGCTAATAAACCCCTGATCGATATTAAAACGTAGGTTGATCCCCTACAACGTGTATCTGTTTTGATCACGTGTGATGACGGCATTCAGCTGGCTTGATGAGTCCGCCAGCTGAGGCTCATAATCGTGCCTATATATGGGCGACGTTTTCTGTGTGTCCTTGTCAGTTTGTTACGTGTGCTTATGTGTCTGTGCTCAGGACCATGAGGAGTTTCTTCTAGAACCTGTTATCCTGCCTGATACCTGTCCTGTTCTCCTAGCCCTAGCACCGCACTAATTTCTTGCACTTGTTTTCTTGCACTGCAGGGAGGGATCAGGTGTCACCAGAATGGGAGCTAAAACAAAGCGGCTCTTTAGTTTAGAGAATGCAGCCTGCGCTGCACTCGACCACCTGAAGAGAGTTTTGGAGGAGGTTAAGGACGTCATAGGGGAGGCGAACTGGCTGAAATTGCGAATAAAACGCCGGTAAAAATTGGCGAAGCCCAGAAATCTGAACCTTCTCTGGATCCATGCGCACCCCCTCAACTGACACAATGTGTCCTAGAAAGGGAACAGACTGTACATGGAACACGCATTTCTCCGCCTTGACAAAAAGCCCATTCTCTAGCAGCCGCTGAAGCACTCGCCTGACGTGCTGCACATGTTCCTGGAGAGAACGAGAAAAAATCAGAATGTCTCCAGGTAGACATAAATAAACTGATCTATCATGTCTCGCAACACATCATTTACGAGTGCCTGGAAAACCGCAGGAGCATTAGAAAGCCCGAAAGGAAGAACACAATATTCAAAATGGCCCCTGGTGGTAAGGAATGCAGTTTTCCACTCATGGTCCTGCTTCATGCGAACCAAATGATATGCGTTGCGGAGATCTAATTTTGTGAAAAATGAAGCCCCCTGCAGACGCTCGAACGCTGAAGACATCAGCGGCAAAGGATACGTATTCTTCACCGTGATGCTGTTCAGCCCTTGATAGTCTATGCAGGGTCTAAGAGACCCATCCTTCTTTTTCACGAAAAAGAACCCCGCCGGTGAAGAAGAGGGCCGTATGATCTTGGCCGCTAGAGAATCAGAAATATAGTTCTCCATGGCCTCCCTCTCAGGAATAGAAAAAGAGTATAACTTGCCTTTAGGCGGTCATAGGGACGATGAGGAGGCAGAGAAGCAGCTCGAGACTTACTGAACAGTCTCTTCAGGTCGAGATACTCACTGGGCACGTTTGACAGGTACATGCGCTCCTCCTGAAACACAGAACAAGAAACAGCAGAACTAGCAGACGAAAGACAAGACTCATAACAGTTCTCACTCCACGAAAAGATCGTATTAAGACCCCAGTTAATATGAGGCTTATGGAGAATCAACCAAGGATGACCTAAAACCACTGGTGTGTTGGAACAGTCTGTTAAAAAAAATTAAATGTGTTCAACATGATTTCCAGACGTGATTAGTTTTATGGGTTTGGTGGAGTGAGTGATAGTGGGAAGGGAAAGTCCGCTGAGGACGCGTACTGCAATGGGTTGTGACAGCTATAACCAGAAGCTTAAAACTGAAAGCGAAACTAGAGTCAATGAAGTTTCCCTCCGCCCCGGAATCGTCGAGCGCCTGTGTGTTTTGAGTTCCGGAACCCCATTATAGGGTGACGGGCAGGAAGCCACCCGATGCCCCGCCCCACCGCAGTAAAGGCAGAGTCCCGCCGTTCTCTGCCGGCGCTTCTCCTGTACAGACAAGCGGGATCTGCCCAACTGCATCGGTTCCGGGTCAACACTCCCAACTTCCGGCGCCATCGCCGAGACCGGAGAATCAGGAACAGGATCCGGAAACCTGTTTTGCCACATGCAACTCTCACGGCGAAGCAGTCTGGAGTCCTTCCGGATGGCCAAATCCATCAACTCGTCGAGAGTTTTGGGAAGATCTAAGGAGTAGATCTCATCCTGGAGACGGTCAGAAAGGCCATGAAGGAACATGTCCCATTGAGCCTCCGTATTCCAGCAGGATTCAGCAGCCAAAGTGCGAAACTCAATAGAATAGTCCGCCACGCTCCGATTCCCCTGGCGGAGATCAAAGACCTTTTTGAGTTCCTTAGAGAACAGGTCAAACGAGGAACAACATGGTAATTTCTTTTCCCATGCTGTGGTTCCCCATTGAGCCACTCTTCCCGAAAGGAGGGTGATTACAAACGCCACCTTGGACTGCTCTAAAGAAAACAAGGACGGCTGCAGAGAGAAGTACAGGGAGCATTTGTACAAGAAGGACTGACATAAGTGAGGCTCCCCAGCATAGCAGGTCGGTGAAGGAAGGCGAGGCTCAACTGAGTGACCAACGCTAACGTTAGCAGTCACCAGCACAGGCATCACCTCCAGGGCTGGTGCAGGCTCCGCTTGTACTGCTCCGGAAACCAGCTGTTGGACCTGAGTAGTCAGTAGTGAAACCTGACCAACCAAGGCCTGAATAGCCTGTGCTGTCGTGGCCAAAGCCTCATCCTGGCGATCGATCCTGGCGTTGCTGGTTGTAAGGAACTCTGAGATCTGTGACGCACTCGCTGGATCCATGGTAAGGTCAGTTCGTTTTGTCACACTCAAATAAATGTTCAGATGGATCCAATTGCGAGTGAACAAAAAGTATTTAT